TGCCTTTATGATAAGGCACTCCTGGTCAGTAGCATAGAAACGGAGATCAGAGCCGCACCAGCAACTTCACAAAAGAAGGGCAACAAAATGACCCAATCATGAATATGAAGAAAGGCCTACATTCCAACGGCTACAAACTTGTCTTTTCCTTTATGACATAAAACTGCCTATCAAAAACCTGTAAAAAACTTTCCAAGATTGGAAGCGGACTCGTCATTTGATTCAATGGTGATCAGCACAAAAGATACCAAACAAAGACTTTGGCAAATATATATATGCTTTTTTTCATACGTGCACATAATACGTTTGCAGCAAAGCTGTATTTTTTTTAAAAAAAATCTGTAGGAATCTAAGGATTGGGTCTGTACAACAGCATAAATATTATAACATTTCTTCAACAAATTTTTTTATATAAATAATTCAAAACGGAGTGAGTGAACAATGGATTCAGAGCAAGGTCTACCATATTTCTGCTTCTCAAGGTGGCAAACGATCTGTAGTAAGGGAAACTTGGTGCGGTTACCTCTGAATTGAAAAACAAGCCACAAGATAAAAAGCTCCTGACCTGGCTGAGAAGGTTAAGACTAAAACGAATGGGTGAAACATATTCAAGGAACATCAAGGATTTCAAAAATTTACCATCGCAGCAATATCACAGCAAAAAAAGCAAAAGTTGATCAAGAAAACTATTACGTAGTATTGGAATACAAGGTGCAATAATCGTATAAGTTTGTTTAGGCGATGAAACCAACAAAAACTACTAGTGAATATTTGTGACACTTGAACCCACTTATTACCATTGCATGATTAATATTTTTCCAAGACAAAAAATATCACGTACTGGTCAATATGCCAGAAAAAATATACCTATCAACGCTGTGAAGCAGCGTTATCCTGAAAGTGACTCTAATCATTTCCGACAATGTTCTATGTAATAGAGAAAAATGAATATCAGTCACGTATCAAGAACGAGGTTCCGTAGTACCACCACGTTAAGACCTGTGCGTTTAGTAAGGCGTGAACTACCTTATAATCCTGCAACCAACGAGGCCAAAAGAGACAGCTTTCATCGCCGCATAATACAGACACAAATCGGATGCGTTGAGCTTCACAGGTTCACGAATTTCGATGGCCAAATCTTGCACAGGTGGCACCTGAAAGCAGACAAGAAATGTTAACGTCAAATGGCAGAATGGAATTTGTCTCATTAAACACTCACTATGTCTTCCAGCGCCGACAGGAAACTATCGTCAGAAAGAATCGAAAATGTTCTACACGAAAAATAGACATCTTCTGGTGACTCGAGAGTCGAAGAACCACCTGAAAATTGATCGAAAACATGATCAAGGAAAATCGGTTAAAGGAGGTTACTAGAGGAAGCGGAGCTGACGATGGAGATTCTATCCAGGTCTTTGCTGTCTAACGAGTACCGTTGCAAAAAGTCTTTCACCGCAAGCTGAAGCGCAGAATTCTGCGTAATAATCGAAACGAGCCGTTCCTTCATGCCTTTTTGTTCACCCTATGTTAGAAGTAAGGCCGCGAAAAAATAATCATGTCTCAGAAGTGACGCATATTATAGAAAAATAGACTTCAAAAACTTGATGGATACGTACCGACGGTAGCCCCTGAAAAGTCGACCAAGGGTGTTAGGATATCTTTCTTTTAGTAGATTCATCTTAATCTTAAAGTTATGAGAAAACCTGCTTCCAATGACTAAACCTGCCTCGTTAATTGCAGTATGAAATGCATATTCAATACGCTTATTAGAGCGATATACGGCTCATCACTAAGAATGCTTGAGTATCTGCTCAAATACGACAGAACCTTGGTATAAGATCCCCTGTGCACCAACGAGAAACATAGCGCGACAAGAAATACGATTTCAGTGGAGCCGAACACTTGTCAGGTTAAGTTCTCAGCTTTCTCCGATTTTGGTACAATCTTCATCTTGAACAAGAAAGCATTTAAATTTCTGGGAGTTGCAAAGCGCATTTCCGGCATATCTGCTCATGAATCGTTCATCTACACTCTTCGCTTGGCGATATTTAACAAAGACCTCTGTCGAGCGTACTTTCTTATGTTCACTGTCTTTGTTTCGCTTGAGCCGACTTTCCTGAACTGTTCGTGAAAAGACTTCAAGAAAGTTGTTGTGTGTAAATCAGCGATACGCTCCTCGTCAGCTGGAGAGAACTGCGATTGAGTAAGTACAAGGTCGATAGCAGCTTCGCCTTGATTGATAATGCGGTATGAAAACTTCAACTGATACAACTTCCAATGCGAGTATATCTCATGCAAACTGTGATTCTCACCGTTCTCTGACTTGAACTGATGTTAGAACGACCAAGCAGGGAAGCCTGTCGTCTTCACTTTCGTATGTAAATTTAACGATCGGTTAAACACCGTTCAGAAGTTACAAGAACTGGACAGGTGGGTGTCCATGCAACAATATAACCATGATGTTATCCACATGTATCAAGTACTACTCAGGAATATAATACTCATTGCTTTAACACCGTCAGATCAAAACCGGGCTTACGTTTAGCCAAACGCATATACCAATCAAAGGTTATCAGTGCAAATAGTGTTTCTATCAGTACACAGAGAATTCACTGTCACTTTGAAACATGCAAAAGTTTTCGAAATATAGTTCATCTTTCAGACATATTTCACATTAAATAATAGCCAGGCATCAGACGTCTTTGGAAGAGTGATTGAGAATAACTGAACAACGAAAGCAGCAGTAACGATGGATGCAAGTCGCCGATTCATTTCTTCGATGTTTATTTTCAGATTCTGTCACTTCTGAACGAACGATAATTCTGGAATCTGATAACGGCATCAGTGAAGTCTTCGTACAGAGACAACCCTTGAATCAGAAGAGCGCACGGAGGATTATACGGTGAAATCGCTTTGGGTTGTATGTGCTGTTTATGGAACATTCGCTGACGGAACAATCACATATGTCAGAGACATCCAACCGTAATTGATCTGACAGCCTTTTGCCAACGAGCCCATGTTCAGTGGCAAGGTTCCTTGATTACCTCTTCCTGACAAGGGCGCACAGACGTTTCGCGCAAGAGCAGCATCCCACCCAAAGCGGAAAAAAAGTAACTGGAAAACTGTTGCGTCGTCATGAATAACGAAACAACAGCAACAGGAAAAGTGAATTCTCATCTGGTAACAGCAAGTAAGAACTCGGATAGGGCAAAATCAGCGATAGCGTCAAAGAAAAGTTACAAATGAACGCGCACTCCTACTTTACACCATTGAGATTCCCAAAAACCGAGATTTCGAGGATATGCATGCAAGTATTGTTTTGCAAATGCAAAAATGGGTCGATTCTGCATATATCCAAACTGATTTCATCATTCCTTCTGTCCGATGATTTCCATGCATTCAAGGTGGTTGAAATGTCGGTAAAGAAAATGATGACGCCTAAACGAATCATGATGGCTTTGCGTTCTGACTGAATGGTATGCTGAATTTCAAGTTGTTCATCCTCAAGGAAGCAAAAACACAAGTTGCCAATTCAGGGACTGCTACCAGAGCACATTGATAATTTAGCATGAACGGTAAGAAAAGGCATTGTTGTTGAGTTGTTTGTCATCATTATCTGAATAGCGGCAGTTTAACAATCCCGTCTATCCCAAAATAATGATATCCGTTGTGCAGAAAGGAAGTCGTGGAATTCTTTTAAGCAATAATCGCTTTGATAAAAGATACTCCTTTTCGTGAGCAGATACGTGTTTAATAGATTTTGCCAGATTTTAAGCTTGTCCCCTTTCCTTCATTGCCCCTTGGTCGGCTCGCATATGACAGTTGCTGACGCTAAAGTCACTTTATGAAACCAGGACAGTCGTGGATCTCTTAATTGTTCACAGAGCTATGTCACCCTGCCGGTTCTAAGGACGCGATCGTTCATTACTCGATAATACCACCGGAATTTGAGGATGTTGCGCAAGTAGCGTTGCTGAAGGCAGGTCAGTTCATGTTGTTTTGAGCTATACAAGAGAACGAAGACCGCTTTTTTAAGATGATAACTTTCGCCTTTACCCTTACTGAGTGGTTTGTCCATGTTTCATGCAGCTTCAAAAATTTAGCTGTTGTAAGTGCAATGCGCCAGTAAATGTCTGACTCACAACTTCCATCGTTAGTGGTAAAATGAACCCAAACACTTGAACCGCTCAACTTCCTAGTACTTCCTTCACCGTCGTATCAACATATTCGATGTCCAGGGAATCGGTTACAGTTGATGCCCTCAATTAGAGAAAAACAGACCAGCACTTCAACCTATTCTACCATATTGCATACGCTGGCATTAAGGGTAACGATAGTAAGTGAATCAAGAAAGATCACTGATGCTGAAGTTCCCACGCGAAGACCTCTCTTACCTGTCAAATTTCATTTCGCTTACCAGTTGTTAGTTTGCTCTTCGAGAGTAATTCAGTTAGAGGATATTCACATTTATTCGAATACTCTGACCGCCCTTATAAATTTAAGTTTACACCTTGTACTAACTCTTGGTCATAAACCAAGTGGCTAACGGTGAAATGCAGTCGGAAAAAGCACGCGTCAAAGAGCATTGCCGTATATCTCGCACGCTTGTGCATGACCACACAAAACACCACGTTGTCTCTGCTACTCACAACTCAACAACGTGATACCCGTTTTTCACTTGATTACACTGAAGCACGGCCGGGAGAATTCCTTACTGAATGGAATTAGCAATTCGTATAAAAATTCCGGTCGTGCGCTGGGTTTGAACCCGGAATCTTTAAAGAGAAAAGCAAACTACTAATACATTGCGGCACCCCTCCCCCTAGTACTTTTCTCTCCGCCACAAGGACGCCTGGGCCAGTGGAGAACAGAAACCCGAGAAGGAAGGGGAAAAGGTCTCAAGTATATGCTTGTTCTGAATAAAATATCTGATCACGCGTCTGGTTGGATGTGGTGGTTGTCCACTGATGGCTGATTAAATTTTCGAACTTATTGTGAACATATAGGTATTCATTTCCTACTGCTGCATCGCCGCGCGAATCCATAATGTGCTGCTTAGTGTAGTCTTCCGTGAATTAGAATGCAAACGATGGCTGCCGTCAGCAACACTAAAGACAAAACTGGTTGTTCTTCATGGTTCGCTGGTAGCTCATATGAATGTCGTCCCGTAGGTTTACAACGTAACTTGGTTAATAGTTTTGGCCAAAATATATTTTCGTATATTTGTCATCCCGCTACTGAACAATGATTCATCATCCGTCGATCGACAGTTGATGAACCAGCAAGACGGGATTCAGAAGTGTAGCGGGTCACGAATCAAAACTAATGCCGTAGATAAGATGTAGCAGGCAAAACAGCAATCCGGTAACGCTTAGTGATTATGCTGTCGTGTGCATTTTTTGGGAAGTAAAATTTAATTGATTTTGTTTGCTAAAGATTTTCTCATACTCTGTTTGGCCTAATTTCTTTTACCTCTTCTAAAAAGCAATATTTTGATTGTGTGCTTGGTAGGGCTTTCAACACACGCAGAAAAGAAAACCAGGCAGTGTACTAGACACGATGTTTATGAAGATACCATTCATCTCATAATAAGGCTTACAAGAATCTTATTCGACTTAGCACAACTTTAAAGCCAGCAGATGCATATCTCATTACCATTACAGTGCGTCACGGCACATCTCATCACGCGGGGAAGCTGACGACAGCATAAAAATCAATAAAGTAAAAAATCAGCAAATGGTTAAAAGTTAAATCACAAACCTCAGTCAAGCCATCAAGACAAAGAAGCGTTTTTTGAAACATCGCGACTGCCAGAGATATGTATTCAGACCCTAAAAGGTTGCAGTTAAAATAAAGTAGTACCTGACTGTTCACAAATGTTTGGCTAACAAAAACAAACAGATCATTATCATTTAATCAATGAACAGCTTCAACAAAGTAAGGCTGAAGGACTAACACTTGGAAATTTCATATGCCTTTGCCTATATTAGTATAAGTTTTCAGAAGCAAGACAAAGTTCTAGAAAAAAGCTAGAAACCTACTTAATGACAGCTTCGTGCGAACGTCCGCTGCACAACCATTTGCTTTATAGAACGATGCTCAGATGAAGTACTAGAATGTCAGTGAATTCCGGTACTTCAATCTTCACGTTGAGTGCACACCATTAGCAGGATGGTATTTTCCGCGGCAGATCGAAACCAGTTTTGTGGTTAGTGACGTCACAAATTTAACGTTTATTAGGAACACTTGTGGAACTGCGTAATTTAAAGTATGTTTTCGCCCATGACGCTGCTTAAGTAGTTTCTCAGCAACGGAATTCATAAGGCTTGTCTAATCCGTCCGTTCATATTCTTTGTTCCTGTTGATGTTTTCGCAGCACTGGATAATTATCTATACATATACATGAACATATATATATATATATCCGCTACGCCATTGCCAGTCATAAGCCCGGATGAGAAAGGAGGAGGGTTGGAGACCGTGGCAAGTCTCCGTAAAATTCAGCCA